TCAGGCCCCGACTGCCAAAGCTACAGGATGACCCGGAGCCCGGCACTCCAGGCCACGTGCAACAGCCCTCCAGGACCGCGTGGAAGAGCACACCGAGAAGAGACACCTGAAGCCATCTGGGCTCCGGCCGGGGGTCTCTGCTGGGAGCCAGGATTCATCTACGGGGAGCCGGAGCAGAAATGCTCCCGCTTTTCCCAGCACACATCTGAGCTCCCCCTAGGACACCCCTGGGCGTAGAGCGCGCTCAGCCAGCAGCAGAGCCACAGCCTGGCACGGCTGGAGCCAGCCCCGCACAGCATCGCTTCCTCACGCCCTCGCCCGGCTCCCACGCCGCTGCCCGTCCCCCCCATCCCAACACCCCATGGAAGGCAGCCCCAGGGCGGCGTGGCACACGGGGACAAGAGCCCGGAGCTCTCGCCCTCGCCGCCACTCGGTTTGGCCCCATCTCTGCCCATCCACATGCTGCTGGTGCTCACCACTTTTTACTTGGCTTTTTTCTTCCATTCTCCTTGCCTTCCTTCTCTTTTCTTCTTTCTCTTCGTCCTTTTTTGCTCTTTTCATATATTCTTTCTCCCTTTATTATTTTCCTTTTTCATTTTCCTTTTTTTCTCTTTTTTTCATTATATACTCGTTTTTTCGTTTCTCTTTTTTTCTCTTTTTTTTTCCCCTTTTTCTTTTTTTGTTTCATTCTTCTCTTTTTTCTTTTCTTTTTTTCTTTTTCTTTTTTTCTCTTTATTTTTTTCTTTTTCTCTCTTTTTTTCTGATTTAATCATAGGTTTTCCTTTAACCCTTCCCTCAGCCTCTCCTTCCCCTTACCTCTTTTCCCATCCTCTACCCTCCCCATCCCCTTTTCTCCCTTACCCTTGTGGGAATGGAATGTTGTTTCTGCATTTGATATTAAAAAGTAGCAATTGGTTTGAAGAAGTAGAACATCATGCATTTGTATTCTGTAACTTATCCTTAGAAATAGTTGATCTAAGAAGTAAAATCCTATATCTGTTAGTGGCATGTTTTAGAAACATTATTACTGAATTATGTGATTAATTCTTTCTTGCAAAACCGGAATAGTTGTTAAATGTTCCAAACAATGCGAGTATAGTGTGCTAAGGATTAGAAAACATATCGTAGAGCTGTTCTGTTAGGATGAGAAAACATATTGTAGAGCTGTTCTGTTAGGATAAGAAACTCTCAGCAAAAGAAAGACAAATGTTGCAAACATCAAAGAAGTCAGGGCCTCTGCACAAGGCCGAACTGTCTCACTCCATGAGAAGGTTGGGGTGTGAGGGCAGGCACCAGGATCCTCCCCTGCCTCTCTCCCAAGCTTATCTTTGTAGAAAGAAGGACAAGCAGATAAATAATGATCAGGTGGGGAATAAGTTAATTAATTAACTACAGATTTACGCTTATGCAGCAAAAAAATTTATGTTTCTCCAGTGTTTCAATGTTTAGTGAAGCGCTGAGAAGATTGTGAACCTGCAGTACTCAGCCAACGAGGAACCAGGGCAGAAAGAGAGAAGCGTCAGGCAGTAGGGGATAAAAGATGTAACCCTGTTTTCTCGGGGCTCTCCTGCTTGCAGGAGGCCCGCCATTGCAATTGCGAATAAAATCTGCTTTATCAGAGATACTGTCCTAGAAAATTATTTGGATATTTCCTACAATTTGGGGGCTTGTCCAGGATCATTATTGCCCCTCGGGGGTTTCCCTACTGCCCTGGACAGGACAGGTGCACCCCGCTGATTTCAGTGGTCCTGTCTGGGTGGTGAGGTGACTCCTTGGGACGGCCGATAAGAAACCGAGGCTGTTCCATAAAGGACGGGCTCTGAGAAAGCCAAGGGGTAGGTAGGCACGGGTATTGACCCCTGGAGACCTGGTAACTTCGTGCACGGAGCAAGGTAAGGGAATTTAATTCTTGCCTTGGGGGTCGGTGGAGACTCGGGTGAATCTCGGCAGGGAGCTGTTGGTGTGCGGTACCTTGTGCACTTGACAAAGTGCCAGCAGTACACCCCTATGAATCCGAGAATTAAGGAGCAAGGTGCTCCAGAGGGATTGGCCCTAAATCCGAGAATCGGAGTGTGGTAAGCTGTGAGCTGGGGAGTTCCCAGCAGCATTCCGGAGGAATGGGGAATAGGAGCTCCATAGAACAGGGGAAAAGGGTCCCCAAATTCGTGCCTAGAGAGAGCCTCTTGGGAAAGAAGCTAAGTATCTGGTAGGTGTTGAGACTTCATAGAACTATTACTGGACTACTGGTTCACATTCAATCATGGTAATTCATTCTTTCAGTTTATAGTCAAACTTTCACTGTTGATGCTGCCTTCTCATTGGACTCATTCATGATCCCACCATTGAATGAGTTGATTACATTTCCACAAAGGGAGAGTGTGAAAGCTGCTGGATGATCCCGCTTGTAGGCAAGCTTGCAATTCATACAGCATAGGTAAGACATTGCAATCTGTGAAGTAAAAATCAAAGACAATGTAGCTATAGCTTTACAGGACGTGCAGATCATAAACTTTATCCATACAGTTACAGACATTTGCTTCCTAGAGGCAAATAAAGTAAAATACTTTAAGAAAATTTCACACAGAGATTGCATACCATACTATTCTTTTACACAAAGCAGAAGGACAAAGCAGGAGATACGTGCAGCTGCATCAACACCCCAGTTGCTGAAGGAATGGAAAGACAGATCAAATGACAATACATTATTCTCATACAAGGACTGCTCATCAGCACCCATTGCCCAAGGAGCAATGCAGGGAAGACTTGCATTTCTTCTTCTCCTAGCCAGAAATTGTTTTTCCTACCTTAGAAAGGAAAGGAAAAAAAGCCTGACATAGTGCTGACAGGGCAGGCAGATGTGGCACACCAAGGCATACTGAATCTGCAGAACATTTGAAACTTCCACCTTTCCTCCAAGAGCAGTCTAAACCTTCCATACCCATTCCTACTTTCACCACTATTCTTACCAAAGCTGCTTTTTCAGCTGGGGCTCCTCTCTGTCCTCAGCAGTATGACTCAGCACACAGATGCACCTCAGCTCCATTTCGTTTCCACGCCCACTTTGTGGGACCGTGGGTTTCCCATCAGAAGGCTTCACACACACCGTGCATTCAGCTCAGTGAAAGGAGACACAACTGATACAGGCTTGTTGTGCAAGAGAAATCCAGGTTCTCTTCTCATTCCCACAATCCTTCCAGTAGTTCAGTCCATTTGGTACATTACCATGTCCCGGATTCTCAGCTGTGTTTTCCACACACTAATCTGTCTACCAACAATGCATACACAGGAACCAAGAAACCAATAGCTACACTCAATCATAACCCAGGGCAAGGAAATCTCAGAGCAATCCTAAGTGAAAGCCCCACTTTTCTGAAACACTGCCTCAAGCTCCTCGCACTCCCCCTCAACTCTTTTCTCAGAAGCCCACTCCTCTGCTTTTTTCTTTTCCTCTGAATGCTTGCATTTTTGTGCAGCCAGGACTTGGGAGAAAGCTGGGATGCAAACTGCAGAGAACTGTCCCAGCAATGAACAAACAGAAAGCCTGGGCAGAAAGACAGTGCATCAAGTCCAGATGCCTGTTGTGTATCTGTACCTCTCTTTGGTGCTTTCTCCAGCTCTGTCTTCTTCCCCAGCCTTTCTGCACGGCCATGCTACAGTGGAAGGCCACTGGCGTCCATTTCTCGCAGAGAGAAAGCAGGAAATACTTGAAGAGCAACTCTTTGGAAGAAGATTTTAGCACAGCCAGCCACTACCTTCAAGTTTTCAAGCACAGGTTCTTAAATTTGCCTTTCCACTGCTCTAACATTATGCCTTCCTTACAGTCAACACGAGGCACTTTTCTCTCTCCTCCATCACACACACCCTTTCACACAGTCCTATTTAGATGAAAGTACCCAAACTACAGCTCACAAAACATTCTTACCCACAGAGGCTTTCCATTTCCCCCTTTCTCAATAAGAGTCAATAGAATCCCATGCTCCATCCCTAAAATAAAGTACAGTCTTTCCATGTCACAGAAAGCAGTTGCCAATCGAATCCTTGTCCTGTTAGCCCACATCCACCAAAATCCCTCCAATACACCATTTCTACAGTCAAAACAAACTCCTTTTTTCAACTGAAATGCACTTACAGAAAGTATTACTGGTCTCATTCCTGCTGAGTGAGTGGGAAATGAATCCACATCTGTCTGATAGCTCTACAATGCACCAAGCAAAGCTGCACAAGCAAACACAACACTATCAGGTGCATGAGCTGAGAAACACTTCATTCCTAAGTCAAACAACTGTGAGTACAAGTACCTCCACACTGTTTGGCCTCTACAAGGAATAGACACAGCTCTAAGAACCATTTAGACACAGACTCAGATCGCTCTACTGCCACCGACAGCCACTGTCAGCCTCTCTATTGCTTCCACTATAGCTTCCAGTACAGCGCTGCCATCAGGCACTCTTTGCTCTCAAGACTCTCTTGTTTTCTCACTTACCTCCTTAGTTGCACTAAGGAAGTGGTTTTGCCATTAGCTGTGGCATCCACTCCCAACCAAACCAACACATCTATCAGTCAGCAGGGTTGCACCCCATGAGGCCAGGCCTCATGCCATGACAGCAGAGGAGCAAGGTCCGAGGCTGCAGCAAGGGAGGATTTGCTCAAAGGCAACAGCCGTGGGCACACAAATCAAGGCAAGAAGCTGCTTATCTTCAGAAGGATTCAGGTAGGCAGGGATCTCCAGAGCGATCCTCTTGCCTACACTGCCAACCCTTCAATGAGGGCTGGGAAGGGGTGGATCCTGGCTCCAGCCCTTCTGTCATTCTGGAACATTGCATGCTCTGGGTTGGCCCTGCCTTTCTACCAGGTGAAAAATCAGGGTTCAAGCCATGTCTCAGCATTTACACTACAGCATCCCTTAGCATTAACCCCACAGGACAACCCTTAACCCTTTACCTTCACCTAAAAGGCTAATCCTTAACACTCACCCCAAAAGATACTCCTCAGCCCTAATCCAAAATGCTAACGCTTAACCCTCATTCCCATCTCAAAAGTGCTGCTGCTGTCCCTAACAAAAAGGACAAGCCATAAACCCCCAACCAGGTGGGCACACCCCCACCATCACTAACATCAAGTGTGAAGCCTTAACCTTTACACCTAACAGAAAACAGTAACATGAAACCCTAACCCCAAAGGGTTACCCTCAGCACTTAGCTCTAGCACCAAACACTAACACTTCATCACAATCCACAAGTGTAAACCTTAGGATCATAGGATCACCACGGTTGGAAACAACATCTAAGATCATCTAGTCCAACATTTCCCACTAAATCACATCCCTCGGTACAACACCTAAACACTCCTTGAACACCTCTGGGGATGGTGATTCCACCATTTCCCCTTCCATAAAAAGGTAACTCTTGACCTTTAACCCTAACCCAAAAGGGTATATCCCATCACCATCACCCACAAGGGTAACTGCAGACAAAGGCAATAGCAAATACAGCTGCTTTAAACCAGTTCTAAATTACCCAAGAAAAGTAAAGGACACAAACCTGGAAATACAGAATGAGCCAGCAGGATGAGGAAATGAGCAGAGATTTCAGAAACGTGTCTGCTGTCAGGGAGGGGAGTTCAGGCCTGCTCCAGCACCACAGGTCTCCATGACACGACACAACATGGGGAGGTGGCAAAGGTGACAGGGCTAGGAGGAGAGCTGGCGGAGGAGGAAGGTTGGATGCCAGGCACTTTGAGAGGGACTGAGGTAGCCTCACCCATCACAGACGTGGTCAGCGCAGACACTTTGGTGTCCGACATGATGTAAAGTGTCTTCGTAGGGCTGGACGTGGTCACTGCAGAGAAGGAAAGAACGTGGTCAGCAGTTGTGGGGACAGGGTGCCTACCCTGGGCTGCAGCCCCGGCAGCAGAGTTGCAGGGCTTCAAACTGCACAGAAAACCCCCTTGTCTCATTTTGTTTTCAGACTGACTCCAAAATAAACCCCAGCACTGCCACAGCCTGCGCAGAGCACAGCAAGGGAGCCCCAAACCTTTCAGCTCCCTTTCTAGACCCCTCAGACTCTAAGAATCTTCCCTCCCTTCAGTGATCTCACTCTCTCCCCAGGGGGCTCGGACCATAGGCCATCCTTGGCCATCCCACTCTCCCAGCTGTCACACAGCTCAGGCATCTTCAACTCTGAGCCACCAGCACTAAAGTGCACACACCACCTGACATGGCTTCACAAGCAACCGTCTGCCTTTGCATCACATGCCTCTACCTGCCTTTGCTAAGCAAGCAAGCACCTACCTGCCTTTGCTTTGGAAGCATGCACACGCTTCCCTGTGCTAAGCAAGACCACAGTCCCTTTTAATCTCAGGAGGGAATAAAACAGCCCGAACAAAAAGGGTACGGCAAGGCTCTCTCTAGGACACCTGTTGTCTCAGCAGAGTTGACAGCTACTTAAAATGCACAAAGGACCTACAAAACCATCACGCTCAAACAAGGAAAGTAAACAAGTCCAGGATGCCGTGAAGGGTTCCTAGCTCTCTGTAGGTAATACCTGCTCCGTGGGCACAGGATGTGCACAAATTGCCCCTCATCTCTTCCCCATCCCCTTCCCCCCCACCCCCCCCGTGATTTCCACAGGCATTTAGAGACTGTGGAAAGGCAACATAAGGCTCATGGAGAAGACTGGATGTACATGAGGTTTTTCCCTTCCCTGGTGCTAGAGCACTGCTTGTCTAGATGATGAATGTTTTTCATACAAGCACCAACCAAGCATGGCAACAAACAGCTGAAATGGCATTTCCCCTGCAAAACCACCAGCCTGTCTAAAGACCTCTCCTCAGAGACTTGCCAAAAAGGCCAGAACCATTACTCCCTTTTGGCAGGCTTACTCACAGAACAGCAGGCTTCTCTTCACCGTGCATCACACGGACACAAACAGGCTGCTTGTGCAAGGAGGGCAATTTCACCTGAGCACCTCACCATGTGTGTTCCCTCCACCCTGCTTTTCTGCAGACATACAAGGAGAAAAACCTCAGTTCCTCTGAGCAACGACTGGAAGGAACTCTGGAAAATTCTCCATTCAAAAGCAGCTCCTTTGTGGTCTTGGTTCCTGAGGGCTCCTGTGGATCACCTTTCAGGCAAAGTGTGAGAGGTTCTACTGTACAAACCTATGTACCTTGGTACCTTTTTCCACCCCAAAACTAATTCTGACAGACTTGTGATGCAGACATTGGACACTGAGAAGAAGAGAAAAAGAGCAGAAGAGAGGATAAAATTAAGGATACCGGTAAGGAAGAAGCGCAGAAGATGAAAAGCACAATAGGATACAGGCAAGACAGCAAAAGAGATGAGCAGCAGCGGAGAGAATAAAGGGAAGAGACGCTGAGAAGGATAAGAGCAGAAGGAGAACAGACAAGAAAGAAAGAAGAGCAGAGAAGAAGAAAAAGGATGTAGGTACAAAAAACAAGCAGACAAAGAGAAAAGCAAAAGAGGTATTAGCGTATACAGAGCGTATACAGAGAAGACAAAAGCAGAAGTGGAGAGAAG